AACACAAAACCACACCCACAGAACACTCTCGTCTCTCTACACTTACACTCACTCTTACTTACAGTCATATTCACTCTCTACACACTCCTGTCTTTCCCCAAGAAAGGGCTCCGTTACAGGCACAGGAGAAAATGGAGTGCCCCAGGATACACAATGGGGCCACTGTACTACAAGGTGGAGCTTTTAGTAGGTGGAGTTGAGGTATTATAAATAGAACTGAAGAGGGGAACGTTTTCTCCCTCCCATCTCTATGATCTTTATTCCTGGCCTCAGAGCTGCTGTAAATCCCAGATCCTGGGGCTCTTCCAACTTGGGAGGGGTGGAGGTTATGAAGGAAACAGGATGGAACCAAACCAAAAAAGTGAATAGGACCTAGTGCTAGAGGGGAAAGAGGGGCTCTAGGAGCACAGAAAATACAGCCCGGCTCATCAAGGGAGGAGAAAGAACTGGAAGAGGTTAACAGCTAGCTAATAATGAAGAGCATGCCATTTGTCCTTGGTGTACTCACAACACTTGTTAGAGGTGGCAGCAGCCACACAGGTGACCGACAGGGATCCTAGTTCTCTTTTCTCACCAGAACATTCCCAGGCTTCTTTCCTTTGTCCTCTCTAGTTATGCAATCTAAATAGGTGCTTCCAATGTTGATTTTTAAAAATCAAAGCCTTAAACAACAGCAACAAAAATCACCACACCCAGTTTTAGGACTGCCTCCATAAAATAGATCAGGTACCTTTCCATGATGCTAAAGCCAATGGGCAGTGTGCCAAGGTAAAATGCACTATTATGCCCTCCCTTAAAAAAAAGAAATAAAACATGAAGATTATCACAATGTCTTCACTGCCTTAGTTACTACCTTTTTTTTTTTTTTTTTTTTTTTTTCCAGTGACAGAGTTTTGCTCTTGTTGCCCAGTCTGGAGTACAATGGCACAATCTCAGCTCCCTGCGGCCTCACAACCTCTGCCTCCCAGGTTCAAGCGATTTTCCTGCCTCGGGCTCCTGAGTAGCTGGGATTACGGCATGTGCCACGACACCCAGCTAATTTTGTATTTTTATTAGAGACAGAGTTTCTCCATGTTGGTCGGGCTGGTCTGGAACTCCAGACCTCAGGTGATTCACCCACCCTGGCCTCCCAAAGTGTTGGGATTACAGGTGTGAGCCAGTTTCTTCTTAAGTATGCAAAAGCACTGAACTAAAAAACACCCCAGGGGATCATGGCCTGTGGGTGGTCTTTAAAGGAAATGGGCTACTCTCCTATACTGAAAAAAACAGCGACAGAAAGAAGGAGTACCTATAAATACAATGCCTTGCTAACGGATCACCCGATGAAGGCAATACGATGGTCTGTATTATTCAACTCAGGCCACGATATCCCAGCATAAGGCAGAGTTCTTAAATTGTTTTAAATCTTGTTTTTCAACATGGGAGGAGTGGGAAGTAAGGAAGGACCATAAGAATCACTAGAGGCATTTAAACTACCGTCGGCCTTTCTTTTTTTTTTTGAGATGGAGTTTCACTCGTTACCCAGGCTGGAGTGCAATGGCGCGATCTTGGCTCACCGCAACCTCCGCCTCCTGGGTTCAGGCAATTCTCCTGCCTCAGCCTCCTGGGTAGCTGGGATTACAGGCACGTGCCACCATGCCCAGCTAATTTTCTGTATTTTTAGTAGAGACGGAGTTTCACCATGTTGATCAGGATGGTCTCGATCTCTTGACCTCATGATCCACCCGCCTCAGCCTCCCAAAGTGCTGGGATTACAGGCTTGAGCCACCGTGCCCGGCTACTACCGTCGGCCTTTCTTATCCATGGGTGCTCCGTCCATGGAGTCAACCAGTGATGGATCAAAAAGTCAGAAATAAAGAATGATACAAATCAAACAATACAGTGTAACATCTTTTTATGTAGCATTTACATTGGATCAGGTATCATAAGTAATCTAGAGACGATTTAAAGAATATGCAATGTTCTTAGGTTATATGCAAATACTATGCCATTTTATATGAGGAACTTGAGCAACAGTGGATTCTGGTATCTGCAGGTGTCCTGAAACCAATCCCCCACAGACACCAAGGGGCTACTATATATAGGTCTCTGGCCTTTCCAACCTAGACCTACTGAAGCAAAATCTCTATGGGAAGGCCCAGATACCTGTATTTGTTTTAAAGTTCCCCAAGTGATTCCAACACTACACCTGGTTATAAGAACCATAGTTTAAAAAATGATGGGGCAGGGCCTGGTGACTCACGCCTGTAATCCCAGCACTTTGGGAGGCAGAGGTGGGTGGATTACCTGAGGTTAGGAGGTCGAGACCAGCCTGGCCATTATGGTAAAACCCTGTCTATACTAAAAATACAAAAACTAACTGGGCATAGTGGTGGGCGTCTATAATTCCAGCTACTTGGGAGGCTGAGGCAGGAGAATCGCTTGAACCCGGGAGGTAGAGGTTGCAGTAAGCCGAGATCACACCACAGCAATACAGGCTGGGTGACAGAGCAAGACTCCATCTCGGGGGGAAAAAAAATCATGGATACTATTCTTCAATCAAGAAAACTATGAGTAGACCAAAAACTCAGGCCTCAGTGTCCTCATATAAATAAAACGGTTGAACTAGATTAGCAGTGGAATTAGATTAGTGGTAGTGTTGGGGGTGGGGAGGTGTTAGCCAAAATACTCTCTGTAAAAAGTGGAATTTTATTCCGGAAATTCAACAGTAAAACAAAAGCAGAGCTGCTTTCAATGGGAGAAGGAAGGTGTGCTGAGGCTCTTCCCTCTCACCCCCAGGTCACCTCAGCAGAATCACCAAAGCCCCACAGAACACAAGATGGTCTCTTAGAACAGCTGCAGCTTTCAAATTCTTTGAACTTCCAAACCTAGAAGTCCACAATTTAAGCGGCACAGATCTTACAATTTTTGTTTTCTTCTAAAGTTCATACGAGAAAATGCCCCCTTCTCTTGTGACATAGCACGTCCTGCTATGTCGTCTTCTATTATTTAGAAAGACAAGTGTTAGCCTCCTCACTGAAGTCATCACTGAAACCCAAGCTTCAGTTTCCTGGAAGAGTTTTAAGCTCAGAAAAGAAGCCTAGATACAAGACAGCATGCAAAATACAGGTTAGTGCTTGCCCCAGGAGAAGGAAGAACGGGACTAGAGGGGCATGACAGAGATTTTATTTATTTATTCTTTTTTTTGGGGATGGAGTCTCACTCTGTCGCCCAGGCTGGAGTACAATGGCATGATCTCCGCTTACTGCAACCTCTGCCTACTGAGTTCAAGTGATTCTCCTTCCTGAGCCTCCCGAGTAGCTAGGATTACAGGCATGTGCCACCACACCCCCCTAATTTTATATTTTTAGTAGTGATGGGGTTTCCCCATGTTGAACAGGCTGGTCTCGAACTCCAGACCTCAGGTGACCCACCCACCTCGGCCTCCCAAAGTGCTGGGATTACAAGCGTGAGCCACTGCGCCTGGCCCAAAAGAGACTTTAAATGCAGCTATGTTGGTTTTGTTTTGTTTTTAGAGGAAAGGGAAATATCTGAAGTGTTAACATCTGTTAGTTCTGGGACACAAGGATGTTTGTATATTGTTCTCTGGACTTTCTTATAGCATTTTAAAATTTTCAGAATTAAAACACAAACACACACACGCTCATTAGCACCATTTGAAACACCCTTGATTTTCATTAAATTTTTTTTTTTTTTTTTGAGACAGAGTTTCGCTCTTGTTACCCAGGCTGGAGTGCAATGGCACGATCTCGGCTCACCGCAACCTCCGCCTCCTGGGTTCAGGCAATTCTCCTGCCTCAGCCTCCTGAGTAGCTGAGATTACAGGCACGTGCCACCATGCCCAGCTAATTTTTTGTATTTTTAGTAGAGACGGGGTTTCACCATGTTGACCAGGATGGTCTCGATCTCTCGACCTCGTGATCCATCCGCCTCGGCCTCCCAAAGTGCTGGGATTACAGGCTTGAGCCACCACGCCCGGCCTAAATGTTAATTATAAATATTTCATTATCTCTCATTTGCCTTCTTCACCAAAGCTCACTTTTAGACTATATGACCTATAATTACCTCCACCCTGGGACTCTGCAAAAGAACACCAGCAACAGAACAAAAGAAATGAATGACTGCTAACAAACTGACACTCTAAAATTAAGACCACAAGGTCTTGGGGCATCTGAAAAAGGAAAAGAATAGCTTTACATTCACTTCACAAAGAGTGCAGAGGATGCTGCCTCTGAATATTGCCTAACAAATGGACCTACACCAACAGCACTACACTTCTAAGCCTCCCAAACCAAGCACCCACTCCACAGGTCATGGGAGAAGACTCGATTCATATATAACCCAAATTCATGAAGAACTAGTGAAATACTAAAGCCAATAACTTCAAACCCTAAAGATGCTACTTCCACCCCACAGTTGGTAATGCCCAAAACATGCATAATCAGCATCAAGCTGAACAACACAAACCCGGAAAATTTTTCAGTACACTTAAATGCTCATCACAGTGATTCATGATAAACTGTCATCAAGGCTACTTATTGCCGTAAATAAATACCCTATCTATACTTCAACCACCTCAACCACCAGCTTCCCAGTTACATTTGCAACATACTCAAAGAAATCTTTTTCTTTTTTTTCTCCTGAAACAGGAGTTTTGTCACCCAGGCTGGAGTGCAGTGGTGAGAATATGGCTCACTGCTGCCTTGACCTCCCGGACTGAAGTGATTCCCTCTCCTCAGGCTCCTGAGTAGATGGGACTACAGGCATGCACCATCACACCTGGCTAATTTTTTAATTTTTTTTGTAGAGACAGGGTCTCACTATGTTGCCCAGTCTGGTCTCAAACAGCTGGGTTCAAGTGATCCTCCTGCCTCAGCCACCCAACGCATTGGGATTACGGACGTGGACCACCAAACTCCGCCTCAAAGAAATCTTTATTTGTATTCACACTATTATCAGTTCCCTTCTCTTAATCTTCTCTCCAGCCAGCCAATCTTTACCTCTTTGCTTCTTCCAAATGACAAAGGTATTCATAAGCCACATTCTGACGTCTCCTTTCATCCATCTCCTCTGCAGTAAGCCTTTCATTATCCAGGACAGCTAAAGCATAAAAGAAAGAATGTAAACACCAGGATCTGTTGCCCTCCTGAGTGATAAAAGATTGCCACAGCATCAATTTCCTGCTACTCACCTAGAAAGTCAGGGTAACTGATGAATGTGTGGCTAGCCAGGTGTACTACAATGACCTTCCTAAAAAAAGAACTATGTGGTTTCAACGATACTCATCTTGACCTTTATAAAAATGTATAATATAAATATGTACTAAATTTAATGTAAACCTGAAAAATACTGACTTGAGATTTGGGCCCAAATCTTTCCCTACCTGCCAGAACTTCTAAACACAGATCTGATAATGCTGTTTCCCTCTTTTATTAATGACCAGTGCCAGCCGTTATTCAGAAATAAGTGGCAGTAATTGTACTAAGCATTTTACCCGCATTCTCTCACTGAAACCCCGTAACAATCCCGTGATTATTGCTCCTATTTTACAGATGAAGAAACTGAGGCTGAATGAGCTCAGCCCCACGGCAAATAAATGCAGGGCCTGAATTCACACTGGAGAGTCTGTCTCCAAAGCCCAAGCTTAACCTTGACGCGATCTGCTTCCTTCCTGGGTACCAGGTATGGAAAAAATTCCTAACTCCTTGGGAAGACATTCAAGGTCTTTCCCAGTCTGGTCTCCACTATTTTTGGAAACTCTCCTCTGCACTTCCTCCCACCACGGTGTTCTCCACACCGCTCAGTTCCCAGCACACACAGTGTCCCTCAATTCTTCACTACCTTTGTCCGTGCCCATCTCTCATGTCCCATCTCTTGTTCCACCATGCCCTAACACTTTTTTTTTTTTTTTTTTTTTTTTTTTGAGACAGGGTCTTGTTCTGTCACTCTGACTGGAGTGCAGTGGCAGTCATGGCTCACTGCAGCCTCCACTTCCTGGGCTCAAATGATCCTACCCTCAGCCCTGAGCAGCTGGGACCACAGCCGTGGGCCACCACCCCTGGTTTTTGTTGTTTTTTTTTTAAGAGATGGGATCTCACTATGCTGCCCAGGCTGGTCTCAAGCTCCTGGCCTCAAACAATCCTCTCACCTCGGCTTCCCAAAGTGCTGGGACTACACACAGGAGCCACTACACCTGGCCACCTGTCAAACTTTCTACACAGCATTGTTCAAGGCTCTGTTCAAATGTCACCTTCTGGCTGGGGGCAGTGGCTCACACTTTTCGAGGTCCAGGCAGGGGGATCACTTGAGGTCAGGAGTTTGAGACCATCCTGGCCAACATGGTGAAACCCCATCTCTACCAAAAATACAAAAATTAGCTTAGTGTGGTGGTGAACAGCTATAGTCCCAGCTACTTGGAAGGCTGAGGGAGAAGAATCCCTTGAACCTGGGAGGTGGAGGTTGCAGTGGGCTGAGATTGTGCCACTGCACTCCAGCCTGGGCAACAGAGCAAGACTCTGTCTCGGAAAAAAAAAAAAAAAAAGTCACCTCCCATACTCAGACTGTCTTCCCCAAGCCCCTTCTCCTAACCTACATTACTCTGTACGGCCAGTAGGTTCAGCATCTTTTATCTCTATTGCACCTTATAAACATTAGCTTGCACACCTGTCTGATTAAAATGTTCTCTGGAGGCAGGGCCTGATCTTACTCATCTTTAATTTCACAAACGCTGCACAATACCACACATATAACTGTTGATGTGCGAAATGTTGATCCTTTAAAACCCCAAAGGGTCCTCCTTTAGCCAGTCGTGCCTGCAGTTCAATGACGTCCAGGGCAGGCAACAGAAAATGAGGAAGTCAGAGGACTTTCTGCCTTTTTTTTTTTTTTTTTTAATTTTACTTTAGAAATCTTGAGGAGGGAACCAAGCCCAAGAAAACCGAAGTGACTTGCCCAGGATGGCACCTCTCAGCTAGCCTAGGATCGGGCAGGTCTGGACCTCGGTCTACCCTCTGCGTCCACCCCGCAGGCAGCACTAGGGCAGCACCTTTCCACGGAGCAGTGGCAGAGCCCGCGTCCCCAAACCCCAGTCCCCGGGACACGCCCTGCGCGGTCCTCCTGCCACCTCACCCTAGGCGGCCTTCCCCAATCTCGGTCGAGCCTAGCCGGCGAGAAGCGCTGGGTGGGGCTCCCCGTACCGCAGCCCCAGCTAAGGCGGGGAGGCCTCGGGGGTCCACGCCGCCGCCTCAGAGCCGGAGGGGGCTCGCACCCGGGGCCTCCCCGCCCGCCGCCCGCTGCCACGCCGGGGCTGCTCTTCCGGGTCCGAGCTGCCGGCAGCCGCCCTGCCCCACCCGGCCGGCCGAGCCCCCAAGAAAGCCGCGCCTCGTCTGCAGTTAGCCCGGCCCCGAAGCCCCCAAGCCGTGGAGCCCCGCACTCACAGCCATAGTGCGGCCGGGCCACGCCCAGCCCATCAACCTCCTCTGCGGCGGACATGGCGGCCGACCTCGGGTCTCTGCTGAGGAAGCCGTGAAACCTTGGAGGCGCGGGCGTCGGCAGATGCAAGCTCCTGCCAAGTGCGCGGGCTGCCCGGGTCCCCGAGGCCCGCCCCGTCCCGTCAACCCCACCCCGAAGGCCCCGCCCCAGCGCCCCGCCCTGCCGCACCGGCCTGAGCGGCCGGAAATAGGCGGGGCCAGAGTCGCCCCGCCCCGCCCCCTCAGCCCGGCCCCGCTCTGCATCCCGCTACGGTCTCGGTAGGCGGAAGAAGGTAGAGCCCGTCCTCCAAACCCGCGGGCGCTGAGCTTGCCCTGCCGGCAATGCCCGCCCAGGGTTACAGCCCCGCCCCAGGGCCACCGCCCTACCCGCAGCTCTAACCGAAAGGCTGCCGGTGTCTGCTTCCTGAAATCAAAATCATGGGTCGTCTCTCTTCTCTCGCTGGCCCCCCAGCTAACCTCTGCACCCAACTCAGAGAAGGCGCCCTTTGAGGTGGTCCAGGGTGTCTGGTTGGACCCAAGCAGTCCCCAGACTGCCGTAAAGGTCCTCCAGCCCCACGCTCCGCAGTTCGGCAGCATGGCCTCAGTCCTCAGAATCAGCAGCAGTCACCAGATTACCCAGGTGTTTGAGATGTGGATGCTGAAGCCGAGCCCTGTCCAAAACCCCGACCTTTAGAGCTCTTGATATTGTTTTTGCAAGTTCTTTTTTAGATAACTCTTTTCCCGTATCAGGGACATCTCTTCCCCCTGCACCTTGTGGCTTGCCCTTTAAATATCGGTATTCAACGGTATTCTGTCCGCAGCCCTCTAGCGTTTTTTGTTTGTTTGTTTTCTTTCTTTTTTTTTTTTTGAGACGGAGTCTCGCTCTTGTCACCCAGGCTGGAGTGCAGTGGCGCGATCTCGGCTCACCGCAACCTCCTCTTCCTGGGTTCAAGCGATTCTCCTGCCTCAGCCTCCCAAGTAGCTGCGATTACAGGCGTCCGCCACCACGCCCAGCAAATTTTTTTGTATTTTTAGTAGACACGAGGTTTCACCATGCTGGTCAGGCTGGTCTCGAATCCTGACCTCAGGTAATCCACCCGCCTCGGCCTCCCAAAGTGCTGGGATTACAAACTGAACCACCGCGCCCGGCCCGCTTCCGTTTTTTTCTTTGCCCACTCAGTAATTTTTTCTACACTTGCCTCTAACTGCTGAGGATCCTTCAGTATGTATCTCCAGGCCAGATCGTCTGGAAGCCCCTCAATATTTTCAGCTAATGTACACTTTCGCCTGTGTATAGGGCAGACACCTCAAATCCCACACGTCAAACATTCACCCTGCTCCTGCTATTTTCTATTCACAGAAGTACTTAGTTCCCGATGGGAACTGACCAGGTTCCTTGGCTCACGCCCTACATTCAATCTGTGTCTATTTCTGAAGTGTCTGCCTTTGTCTCCATCCTCGTTGTGATTACACTGCTTAGATTGTCATCATATTCAGTCTCACTTCTGCCAGATCGTCACAGTTACCAGGGTGTTCTCTCTAAAGTGCAAATGCAATTGTATTCCTCTTTTTAAATAATTTTTTTCCTGTTACTCCCTTCAAGATAATGGGCCAAGTTCAGCATGATTTACCATGCCAAAACAGCCTGAATCCAGATGTTTTGCTTCAGCTATTTTCTTTCTTTCTTTTTTTCCTTTCTCTTTCTCTTTCCTTTCCTTCTTTCTTTCTTTTTCTCTTTCTCTCTCTCTTTCCTTCTTCTTTGAAACTGAGTCTTGACCTGTTGCTCAGGCTGGAGTGCAATGGCACAATCTCAGCTCACTGTAACCTCTGCCTCCCCGGTTCAAGCAATTCTCCTGCCTCAGCCTCACCATGTTGGCCAGGCTGGTCTCAAACTCCTGACCTTGTGATCCACTCTCCTCGGCCTCCCAAAGTGCTGAGATTACAGGCATGAGCCACCATGCCCGGCCACTGCTCCAGCTATTTTCAATGTATTCACTCTTCCTTCAAACAAAGATACTTCAAAACCTGTAAGAACAAAATACCCCTATAGAAAAATGGGCAAGAGTTTAATTTATTAAACTTACAAAGTAAAACATTATTTCATTCTTAAGCTTTTAAGTTCACTTTACAAAATGGTATTACTCTGGCCAGGTGTGGTGCTCACGCCTGTAATCCAAGCACTTCGGAGGCCAAGGCAGCCGGATCACCTGAGGTCGGGGGTTCAAGACCACCCTGACCAACATGGTGAAACCCCGTCTTTTAAAAAAATAAATTAATTTTGCCGGGCGCGGTGGCTCAAGCCTGTAATCCCAGCACTTTGGGAGGCCGAGGCGGGTGGATCACGAGGTCGAGAGTTCGAGACCATCCTGGTCGACATGGTGAAACCCCGTCTCTACTAAAAATACAAAAAATCAGCTGGGCATGGTGGCGTGTGCCTGTAATCCCAGCTCCTCAGGAGGCTGAGGCAGGAGAATTGCCTGAACCCAGGAGGCGGAGGTTGCGGTGAGCCGAGATCGCGCCATTGCACTCCAGCCTGGGTAACAAGAGCGAAACTCCGTCTCAAAAAAAAAATAATAATAATTAATTTTAAAAAAAGAAACAAATTGTATTATTCTATTTATAAGTCTAGCACATTCACCAAACACTTCTCAGAAACCAAATGATTTATTTGGAGGGGGTCACATTTTTATTGGGGCCCAGAGGGGATGTGGTCTCCTCCATGTCAATGAAAGTGCCTCCAGTTTCTTCAGCCACTCTGAACTTGGGCCTTGGGGATGGCTGAGCATGTCCAGTATGTTCCCATCATCTCAGAGGGGCACTAGGTTGTTGTAGGACGTGGCCTATTTGAGCCTGGTGGAGTACTTGGTGTAGGGCTGACTGGGGTCAGAATTATAGCCAAGCCCCCAGTGGCGAGGGACAGGAGGAGCACCTGCTCCTTGGCCCAAGCATTCTTGAGAAAGGCAACTGCAACGGCAGCGAGGACATGGAGCACTCTGAAGTTTCCCGAATTTTTTTTTAAGTCTCACTCAGTTAATTCGACATCTTCAAATATTTTAAATTATGCCGACTAGACCAGGTGCAGTGCCTCACACATCTAATCCCAGCACTTTGGGAGGCAGAGACCTGAAGTCAGAAGTTCAAGACCAGCCTGGTCAACATGGTAAAACCCTGTTTCTACTCAAAATGCAAAATAATTAGCTGAGCATGGTGATGCATAGTTGTAGTCCCAGCTGCTGGGGAGGCTGAGGCAAGAGAACCGCTTGAACCCAGGTGATGGAGGTTGCAGTGAGCCGAAATTGTGCCCCTACACTCCAGCCTGGGCAACAAAGCAAGACTTTAAAAAAAAGAAAAAGTAATTAAATTTAAAAATAAAGAATAAATTGTGCCTATAATACTATGTCTATATTAGATTTTCTATTAGATTTTTTTCATTCATTTAATTGTTTAAATCTTTTTCAAAATTTAGCAATTTTTTTTTTTTTTTGAGACGGAGTTTCGCTCCTGTTACCCAGGCTGGAGTGCAATGGCGCGATCTCGGCTCACCGCAACCTCTGCCTCCTGGGTTCAGGCAATTCTCCTGCCTCAGCCTCCTGAGTAGCTGGAATTACAGGCATGCACCACCATACCCAGCTAATTTTTTTTTTTGTATTTTTAGTAGAGACGGGATTTCACCATGTTGACCAGGATGGTCTCGATCTCTTGACCTCGTGATCCACCTGGCTCGGCCTCCCAAAGTGCTGGGATTACAGGCGTGAGCCACCGCGCCTGGCAAAATTTAGCAATTTTTATAAACATACAAACATAAAGAAGCTAACATTCTCTTAGATGGGCCTGATTCCATGTATAAACTTAGTAAGGTTTCAACTCAAAAACCAAAGTCTAAAATTAATTCAATTACACTTTAAAATGAGTTACAAAAAAGCTGTCACTCAAATAGGCCAAATTGTCTTAAACATTGCAAGAACATAAAATGTGAAATATTTCTCCTTTTTTTTTTTTTTTTTTGAGACGGAGTTCTGCTCTTGTTACCCAAGCTGGAGTGCAATGGCGCGATCTCGGCTCACCGCAACCTCCGCCTCCTGGGTTCAGGCAATTCTCCTGTCTCAGCCTCCTGAGTAGCTGGGACTACAGGCACGTGCCACCATGCCCAGCTAATTTTTTGTATTTTTAGTAGAGACGGGGTTTCACCATGTTGACTGGGATGGTCTCGATCTCTTGACCTTGTGATCCACCCACCTCGGCCTCCCAAAGTGCTGGGATTACAGGCTTGAGCCACCGTGCCCGGCCTATTTTTTTTTTTTTTTTTTTTAATTGAGACGGAGTCTTACTCTGTTGCCCAGGCTGGAGTGCAGTGGTGTGATCTAAGCTCACTGCAAAGTCCACCACTCAAGTTCAAGAGATTCTCCTGCCTCAGCCTCCTGAGTAGCTAGGATTACAGGCGCACACCACCACACTCAGCTGATTTTTGTATTTTTAGTAGAGACGAGGTTTCACCATGTTGGCCAAGCTGATCTCAAACTACTGACCTCAGGTGATCCACCCACCTTGGTCTCCCAAAGTGCTAGGATTATAGGCATGAGCCATCATGCCTTGTTGAAATATTTCTTTTTAACTCCAACATATTAATCTGATTATTCACTCCATTAAGGCTTTCTGTACTTACTTATAAAGTTGGTCTGAGGTGAAAGCTACAGAGATGTTAAGACAGTTACCAACTGCACTGAGACCTTACTATACTAAGTGCTTCATATTATTTTCTCAGCTGATCCTTGTAATAATCCTGCATGGAACTACTGTTACGTCTATTTTACACTTGGGGAAAATGGAGAACTGGGTTACTTACCTGAAGCCAACATAACAAGAGGCAGAGCTGGAACTCAAACCCGGGTCTGTCTAATGACAAAGCTCACATTCCTGGTCAATAAACTCAAGATTCAGAGAAATGGACATTAAGATAATAACATGCTGGCCAGGCATGATGGCTCACGCCTGTAATCTCACAGCACTTGGGAGGCAGAGGTGAGAGGTTTGCTTGAGGCCGGGAGTTCAAGACCAGCCTGGGCAACATGGCAAAGCCCCATCTCTACAGAAATACAAAACATTAGCCAGGCGTGGTGGCATGCTACCCAAAAGGCTGAG